GAAAAGAAATAATTTGGGAAGTTTAGTGTTTTGTTCCATTTTTCTGTGTGTCTTAAGATTAAGTGATTAGTAAAGCTTTTTACAGACATGTTATGAAATTTGGACAAGTGCTTTGTTTAATTGTTGAAGAGGATTTTTCCCACAATTATAACATTTAAACTCTTAGTTTTCCTCTTTTAAACCTCGCCTGTTTTCCGTGGAGACTTATTTTTACACCACTCTGTTTTCTAAGTAATACAATAGAAAATTAAATACAAAAATCAGAACACATTCGGTGTGATTTTCAAATAGCCTGCAATCTCTCTGCCTTTTTCTGTGAACTGAGAATTGTAGTGACACAGGAACCCCATGGAAGGTGACCGAGCATCTGAAGACTGCTGTCTGATGCCTCCTGGAAGAGGACGGTCATACTGAGAGTATGCGCCTCCATTCAGCAGTGCCGAATTGGCTGTCCTTCTGCCTTCTGTAGGGATACGAAAGAGTAAAGTTCCTTAGGAAGCATAAGGAGCATGGCCCTCTTAACACCGTTGTTGGCGGAAGGTTCTGTCTTTAGCCAGAGCATCTCTACTTATACAGAGGCACCAAAGCCCAAGCTTGGTACCTTGGGAGGCAAAGACCTGTCTAATGTCAACAGGAACCTCTAAGGAACTTCAGTGAGTCTAAATTAGGGAGTTCATTGTGCCCCCACACACATTCTATTCCTTGTAGGGCTGGCTCCCCAATAAAAGGGAGTTTATTTTAACAATTGTTTAGAAATCATTTGAGATGACCCTGGGCTTTTTCATAAGGAACCTCCTAATTGTTGGAAAGATTAACATCTAAAGCTTTATGGCTACCATTCAAATGTTTCTTTCTTTCATGTTTAGGCATTTTTGCCTCCAATATTGGTTACTCAGGACAGCAGTACTACTTTAATAGTTCAGGTAAGTACTTTATTTCATTTAATAAATTTTAACTTTTTAAAATTATAGTGTTTGCTGCTGTAGAGCTACTTTAAGATAACACTAGTTTATGCTGTGGTAGAGTCGTTCACATGTTATGTAATTGTGCCTCTCACATTCCTGGAAGCTAGATGGAGGGATAACCCAGGGAGCATTTTGGGGTGGGTCGGTACGAAAATCCAGGGAAGGAGGTAACTCTGGTGTAAAAAAATTGTGTGATTGGTATGAGGTCTCTCATGTGTGATGAGGTTCATATTAGACCCTGCTCCTTTGTCAGCCTAAGGCCATACTGCTGGCAAAGTGTTAAAAGTTGGTTTCAGGTATACAATTCTCCATGCTCCACCCCACCTGTATTCAGGAAACTCACGCGTACTCTAAGATGCTAAGGTAGGCATTGCTCTAATAAATACATGTGACTTAAAGAGGAGAATATATATTTTTTAGGTGTCTGTGTAAATAGGTAGAGAGGACTTCCTGTGAAAAGCATTAGACCTATTTTAGGCTAAGGCCTTTATATTCCAGCGTGGGGCCGCTACTCTTTAGTGCCTGGACCAGCACCAGGAGACAGGTGTGAAGCCCACGGCCTATGGAACTACTGGATGTCTTAATGCAGTGGACTGAATGTGTCCCCCAGATTCATATGTTGAAATGCTAACCCCTAATCTGATGATTTGGGGGGGGCTTTGGGGAAAAATGAGGTGATGAGGGTAGAGCCTTCATGAATGGGATTAGCGCCCTTATAAAAGGGACCCCAGAGAACTCTCTAGACTTCTTACTACCATGTGAGGATACAAGGAGAAGTTGGCCCTCTGCATCCCAGAAGGGGGCCCTCACTGGAACTGACCATGCCAGAACCCTGATCTCAGACTTCCAGCCTCCAGAATCGTGAGAAAGAAGTTTCTGTTGTCAAAGCCACCTAGCCTGTGGCTGTTTGTTATGGCAGCCCATGTGGAGTAAGACGTGGCTATATTAATACCAACTGGAAACTGCCGTGGCTTAAATCTGGGGTCAGCAGCCTCTTCTTTAAAGGGCCAGATAGCTAATGTTTTAAGCTTTAAGGGCTTTATTGGCCATATGGTCTCTGTTGCAACTAGTCGGCCTGTCCTTGTAGCATGAAAACAGCTGTAGACAATTGATAAACAAATGGGCAAAGCTGTGTTCCAGTAAAATCTTATTTATAAAAATAGGCAGCGGGTTGGACTTGGACCATGAGTTGTAGTTTTTTGACCCTGGTTTAAATAATATAGGTACAAAGAATTATTGTTTTACATATATAGATAGATAGATACAGCTTTTGCTTTATTTTTCCCATGGAATATTCTTAACCACACACTGGCTTCCCCAGTAGCATCTTGTGAGTGTTCATGTTGTGTGGAAAGCCAGACCAGCTATTGAGGAGAGAAAAAAAGAGCTGCAATGCCAGTCCCAGAGTTTATGATCCAGGAGTGGGAATGTAGGTGCCATACATTTGAAAAGATGAAACAACAGAAACTAATGGGACTGACTAGGGTGTAGGAAATAGAATGCTGAACCATGATGTGGGGTGGTTCAGGGTAGTGGGATGATCACTAATAATGCTAGTATTTGTTGAGTTTTTACCATGTCCCCTCCTGGTCAGTCCCCGTCTCCCTGCTCTCCTCTGTGACTTTCCAGCTCAGGGATCCTGCTGTGCTCCGCTCGTGCTCTCCCTCCACCATCCCGCACCACCGTCTGGAAAGCGTCTGTAGGCTCATTTCCTTTATTTCCTTTCTCTCAAGGTTCAGAAGCCTGTACTACCTATTATATTAATCCAGTGTCTGAAAATGGTTGTTTTCATATATTTTCTCCAGTCTTCTACTTGATTTTGGTGGGAGGGCTAGTCCAGTCCCAGTTGCTCCTTCCTGGCAGAAATAGGATGCCTAATCTAGCAATATTAATGTAGTGGGGTCAGTGCTCATCCTGAGATGGATGAGTGGGGTTGTGTTATAGGAGGTTATTCAGAGGCAGTAGAGTTCTGGGTCTTGACAGATGAGCAGAAGTTAAGAAAAGCAATGGGAGGAAAGGGCTTTCCAGGGACAGGAAACAGTACTTGAAAAAGCCTGTTTTGAGATTATCCAGAATGTGTCGGAGAGCCACTGAAGGATTTAATCAGAGCGACACTATCAGAGTTACATTTAGATTTTATGTGTAGTTCTAAAGTCTTGTATCGTGATTATCAATGCTGGCTGTATGTACGAATCACTTCAGGAGCTTTTACAACATACTCATGTCTTGAATTCACCCCAGACCAATGCAGTCAGAATGAAGGTAGAGGGCGGGACTAGGGCTCTTTTTTAAAAGCTTCCTTGGTGATTTTAATGGGATCAGGAACAAAAACCGTAGCCTTAGATGATTGGGGTTCCCTAGGCTTGGAGACCACAGAAATGAATTCTGTCACTGCCCTAAGACGAGGCTTCACTTCTGAGGCTCTCATCTCTGCTTATTTAGATGCTTAAAATCCTAGAAGCTTGGTCTTGGTGCAGAGAACAGTTGTTGTGTAGTGCCAGCTCACCTGCTTCTACCTGTGGACTCACCTAAAGAGAAGTTGTGATGAGCAGTTGTGGACAAAGCTGATGATACAGTCATTTGGAAGAACACTGGGTCCTTTGGGTTGTTGGTTATGGAGACCAGTTCACACTAAGGAGAACTTTACTGCCCGTGTGACTAGGGAGAGCTGGGTTGGACAGGAAGACCATCATGATTCCGTGTCCTCTTATGGTTTCTCTCTTCCTTTTGACTTTATTCTTTCCATGGGGCAGGGGACATGGTGTCTAACAGCTTGAAGTTGCTAGAGTGAAAAGGGCTTCTCTTCTGGGTTCAGTTTTTAAAATCCCCAAAAGAAACAGCAGTGCTCTTCTGGGCAAAGAGGACAGTAAAAACACACGTGGGCACAGACGTGACTTAAACTATCATAGATTACCTGGTCCTAACATCCTATGTGACAGCTAGGAAACTGAGGCTTAGCAAGGTTCAGTAATTTGGCTAAAATCACACAGGTAGTTAGTGGAAGAACTAGGACAAAAGTGCAATTCTCTGATTTCTAGTCCCTGCTTTTTCTATTGTACAGGGATATGAGGTGGGCATTCTGCCAATTTAACCTTACAAAATAGGGCAGTTCCACTTACTGTCTTTTCTCACTCTTTTTTTTGTTTGAACTCTATACATTAAAAAAAAAAAAAAAGGAAACCTGCTCCTTTCCTCCTTCATATGGATGAGGCATAGGCCCAGCAGACTCACAGACCGGAGAATTAAAGGCAAAAATAAAAGCCCCTTTTACCTTTCTTAACCTCTGTGAGATTACCATATTTATATTCCTTCCTCTGCAGTGATCAGATTTCTTCAAAGGCAGAGCTACATAAGGCCAGGTGGCCATGCTAATGGTCATCCAGGGAACTTTTATGAGAGCATATGTATCTCCTACATGTAATGATTTATTCTTAATATGGCTGTTCTTAGCTGGAAAAGTCTTTATAGGTCAAAGAACCTCATGAATGTTTAAAAAGCTGTTACCAATTTTTCTAATCTTGGTAGTGTTTCTTGATCTCCTTTGCCATGAAATCCTGGTATGTATATAAGGAACAGATGGAGTAGTTAATAGAATAATGATAACCAGAGTTTCTTTTATGGCAGAGCCCAAGTGTACAGCTAAAAAAAAGAATGTTAAGCTAGCATTCATCACAGGACATAATTTAAACTTATTTAAGTGTTTGTTAGATTTTTCCAGGAATGTTTATTATGAAGATTTAAAAACATCTGATTGGACCATTAAAACAGCTGTAGAAAATTTTTGGTCCTAGGAGACCTGTTCCCATTATAATAGATATTGATGGGGTTTTTGGTCTTGTTGATGATTTATGATTGATGATACGGAACCTTTAAACCACACTAATCTTTTTGACTTAAGGCACTGAAAATTTCCCATTCTCTCTCCCCACGTTTTGTCTAACAAGTACCAAATTAGGTTTTATAATAGTCAGATGTTTAGAGTTGTTGACTTTATTTCATTAAAGCACTGCTAGGTTGTTTTTAAGTAAGAAATGGCATGAAGAAAAAAATGTTACCTCAAATTACTGCACATATATCTGGCAATTAAAACTCTATGGATGTATATGGTGTCTGTATAGATAAGTATTCAGAGACTTTGAATTATTTTGGATTCTGAATTAGCTGAGCATTTTGAGGGATGGATAGTAGAAATGCTGCCTAGACCTTCCCTAACAGAATGACATTCCACAGGGGTTTGAAAGTGATAATGAGCCATCTGGGAAATTACCCGGTATGCTTTTTGTGTTGCAATAAAATAATTGGCACTCTTAGGGAATTGGGTAGTTTCTCTATTCAGGGATTGCGGAAGCATCCCATGACATTCAGTGACTTATCCATAAATATTCTATTAGTGTTTTGGAGTGGTTGCCCCTTCATTTGTTCTCTGTGATGTAGACATATTGTGTTTTCACTATTCGTCCTCATACAAGGTTTATTTTTTTTTTGATGAGGGGTGTCAAAAGCAAGATTTGTAGCACTACTAAAGTCTCCTTTACTCTCCAGATGAGAAACTTGCTTGTGGGTGTTCGCCAACACAGCAGTGGGAGCCGAATTTTTCTGATGGTTCTACTGGGTAGAGAACAATTTGAGAAGGGGTGTCCATATTTCAAATTGTATCCAGATCCCACTTTGGTCCTAAACCAGTGCGAGGATTTTGAAAATTTACTTATCTCCTTCTCCTGTTTTAAATATCAACAATGTTAATATTCTGACATGGGAAACGAGAGAGAATAGGGAAGTTGGATTACTGGGGGTATTTAGTAAATTCCCACTAATTTTTACTGCATTGAGGCAAGGCTTTTCAGAATTAGTCTCCAAAATCCTGAAGAATTTTATTTAATGTTAATTTAGATCATTCGTTTTTGTTAGTTTCAAGGACATTCAGTAAAATATAACTAAGCAAGAAGAGTATTATGATAATTAGTAAGAATGGGTAAAAGATATGAATAGACATTTCTCCAAAGATGATACGGCTAATAAGTGCATAAAAAGATTCTCAACATCATTAGTCATCAAAGCCACAGGAAGATACCACTTTATATCCACTGGGATGACTATAATTAGAAAGAAAAATAATAGCAAGTATTGGTGAGGACATAGAGAAATAAGAACTCTCATACACTGCTTCTAGGAATGTAAAATGGTGCAGCTGCTTTGAAAAACATTCTGGCAGGTCCTCAAGTGGTTAAATAGAATTATGACCCAGCAATTCCACACCTACATGTATATTCAAAAGAAATGAAAACATATGTCCACGAAAAACTTATTCAGAAATGTTTATAACAGCATTATTCATAATCGTGAAAAGGCAGGATTAAGCCAAATGTCCATCAACTGATGCATATGTAAACAAAATATGGTATCCATACAATGGAATATTATTTATCCATAAAAAGGAATGAAATACTGTTACATGTCACAACATTGATGACCTTGGGAACATTATGCCAAGTAAAATAAGTCAGACACAAAATGCCACAAATTACCAATATAATTCTATTTATATGAATTGTCCAGAATAGGCCTATCTATAAAAACAGAAAGTAGATTAGTAGTTCCTTCGAGCTGGGAGGGATGGGAGTTTGAGGAATGTTAGCTAAAGGGTACAGATTTCTTTTTCGAGGGATGATATAAGTGGTCAAAACTAATTATGGTGATGATGGTGCAACTCTAAAATATCCTAAAGACCATTGAGTTATACACTCTAAATTGGTAAATTGTTATATTGGTTATATCTCAATAAAGCTGTTCTAAAAACATCAACAGACACAAATTCTTCACATGACAAATATAAACACATAATTATCAGCTGAAACCAGATTAGTGTGTTTTATTATCATTTCCTTGTTATACATTATCATTTCATTGTTTATCAAATGAAACAAAGACTATTAGAGTATTGAGAATTTTTATGCTTCCCTTTTAATCTTGCATATTAGGAAAGTCTTTTATTCATAACCAATGCAAAATTAAATTTTAAAATTGCCTCAGGACCAACTATCAAAAATTCTGAATATGAAATCTCAGCTAAACACATTCTGCCATACAGTGTTCCTCTTTTGGCATGACTATTTTTTTCGGTAGTCTTATTAAAGCTCTAACTCAGGCCTGCACTATGTGGGATGACACAGAGATTGGTAACACAAGACTCCTGTGAAGGTTAGGAATCTTCATCAACAACCAAAAACACATTATTTAAACATTTGAAGCATCATCTTCAAAGGGTATGATAATAAGAGGAAAGCAGGGGAAAAAATCAGACAGACTATTACTTCTCCCTAATTATGCCAGAATGAGATTGGTAACCTTCTGTGGGAATAAACATCGCTTCCAAACAAAATCTGTAACAGTTGGCAATTAAAGAAAATATAAGGAGCAAATTCAAACTGACTGAAAAGATTGACGGAAATATCTTACAAAAGTGAACTGTCCTCTGTTATTGACGTTTTTGAATGGGTATCTAAGTTTGGTGGCTAAGGCAGTATTTAACAATCAGGTTGTCTCTTCTCTCTTGTTTTATCTAGCAACCAGCCAATTTTTTTTAAAGGAACTACAGTAGGAACTACAATCTCTTATATACAATTATAATTACAGAGAAATTGGTTCATACATCTCAATCTTATTACTGTCAGAAATGTCCCATAGTATCTCTATTAAACACTGGTCTGCCTCTCGTTGTATGGAGCCACAAGATAATAAGACTTTAACAAATATTGTTTCTACCATTCTCTTGACTCAGGGCAGGACTTCCTGAAAATAGTGCAAGTATTGAATAGTTACAAGTTGAAAATCCACTCTGTATGTCAATAGCCCATTCCAGTTCCTTCTCCAGGGCCTCTGAGGACCTTCTAAGTTAATGTCTCCTGTCCTCATTAGCACATAAAGACTGCTTCGTGTCCAGCCCTGTTTTGGGCACTGTAAACACAACGATGATGAGATGGTCATTGCCTGCACTCATGGAGGCCTTCTCCATTTGGCGTCTTTTCTTATTTTGAGGGTGACTATTATGCTCAAAATAATGACATGAATTATTTGCTTGTCTTTGTTTTAACAAAATAGATAGTATGAAACAAAAGAACAGTCCATAGCTGTGTTCTATAACCTTTTCATTGTGCTTCTAGGCCATTCTGGATATGAGAATCATTATCCATATGGCAGACCAGGCTACTATGAAGAAGCACCCAGGAACTACGATGTGTACACAGCAGGACTGAGTGAGGAGGAACAGCTGGAGAGAGCATTAAGAGCCAGCCTTTGGGACCGAGGTAGGAGTCTTGCATCCTTCAGTTATTTTAAAGCATACCTCATGTGGTGAGATGGTCTGAAAAAAGGGCTATTTGTAGCAAATTAAACTTTAAATAGTTTATAAAAAGGATATGTAGATGAAAAAATGTGTGCAGATTGTGATTACAAAGAACGGGGTGTGATGCCATATTCCCAGCAACCTAAGCTAATAAGGTGCCAGACTGTGTATGTATTGTTAGAGTGGTTCTTTTTATAGGCCTGCTGCACTCGATGCTTTGGCATTGAAGTCAAGAAACTTAAAATTCTTAGGTGCATGATAAAAAATAAAAGGGGGACTTTACTTTGGAATTCATATCTATAAAGCAGGTTCTGTGTCATTATATATCAAAGTATTACCATAAACCTCCCACAAATCTCTCTCAGAGTCACATGGGCTAAGAATTCAAACTCAGTTTTGAATTCTGCTGAACCAATCTCTCTGGGGGTAGAGTCTAGGAATTTGTATTTTTAACAGGCTTTCTTTCTGTATATCAGTTTGTAAAAAATAAAAAAGAATTTCTTTTACAAACTGATATAGGAGAACCTCTGTGTTTTGCCATCTTCATTCTGGGTTTGGCTTATGAGTTTGGGTATTAATTGTTTTAGTAGTGACTAAAATCTATTCATTCACGTAGACATTTAGTGAGGTTTTATTATGTTTTATGTACTATGTTAGGTACAATAGGGAACATAGAGATGTGAAAGATGGTACCTTCCCTCAAAAAGTTCACAATCTCTGTTTGGGCATATGCCAGGTAAACACTATAGCACACGAGTAAACATAATATCAGGGTCCTGAGGGAGACTCGTTAAGTGCTAGAGGCAGGCAGAAAGGGCTGAGCTTTTTCTTACCTAGAGCCGTCAGATTTTTACAGTGGAAGTGGCATTTGAATTGTACCTTCAAGGGTGTATAGAATTTGCAGAGATGTGAAAGGGCATTCTAGGCAGGAGGCTGAGTATCAACGTGCACAGAAGTAAGGGACATGTTCAGCCAGCCTTCACTTCTAAATGGAGCATTAAGAGAAGTGGGGATAGAGAAGAATGGGAAAGTAGGCTGAGGCCTGATCTCTGAGCTCCTGGAATTAAATAGGCCAAGTGGAAAATGGATTCAGTGTATGGTATAAATGCCAGTAGAGTTCTGCATGGGAGAGTGATGTGATCAGAGCTGTGTTTTATGAATCTGGTAGCAGTCATTCTGCAAACAAGGATTGAGCACCTATGGGGTAGCAAGCATTACACTAGATGATGAGAATACATAAATTATGACAATATAGTTTCTGACTTTAAGGAATGCAATCTTAGCAGTAGTGTGCCTGGAGGTGGGGGATGACAATAAGTGGGAAGATAAGTTGAAAGACATTATTGCAGTTGTCTGAACAAGAAATGAAAGCCTAAATTATAAAGTTGGCAAGGGAAGTGGGGAGGGAGAGATAAATCAGTATTTCTTAGGTGAAGGGTCTCAGAACTGTGATGTATCAGTAATCTGTCTCTGTGTAACAAATCACCCTGAAACTTGTGGATTAAAACGGTACACATTTATTCTTGCTTATGAATGTGTGGAGCAGCTAGTCCAGGCTTAGCTGATCTTGGCTGGTGAGCTAAGGTGTCTGCAGTGGTCCACTGGGGGGCTGGTTGCTTTAGGGTGGTCTTGTTTATGTGTCTGACCAACTGTTGTCTGTTGGTGGTGATTGGGCAATGCGTCACTCCTCATCCAGCAGGCTGTCCTGGGCTCATTCACAAGGCCGCAGCATAAGGTTTCCAAGGGAGTAAGGCTTGTGGTGGCACAAGGCCAGTCCCACTGTACTCTGTTACCAATGCAGGTAACAAGACCGGCTCCGATTCATGGGTTAGGGAAATAAACTTCACCTCTTGCAGGAGGAACAGCAAAGTCACATTGCAATGGTTTTGGATAGAGGGAGAGATGGAGTATTGAGGCATTTTTGTAATCACTGTATCACATGTAGTCAGTGGACTGGCAGTATCACAACCATTAGAAGCACACCTTAGCCATGAAATTACAAAATCTGGGGAAAGAGCCCCAGAGCCTGTATTTTAACAAATTTTCATAGTTATTCCTGTGTGCACAGGGTTTTAATCACTACTGGGCTGGACATGAAATATCATGAGGACAAGTAGAACATGGCAAAGCTTCTCAGCATGGACTTTGTGCAACCCATCTCTGTCCTCTTCTAGGTAGACTTCAAATAAAATCCCAAGAGCCAAGGAACACAGCATGATAGGAACGATTTAGACTTAGATTTTGGGGGACAACATCCAATTATTACCTCTGTTAAGAAATATGCACTTTAAATGCTATAGGAAGGCTTCAAAAATGATCAAAGGGTGATCAAAGATCAGAGGGAAAAATTAGGTAGCTTGAGTGAGAGTATTTGAAGGTGGGATATAGAAAATCTCCCATGCTAATGTAGTCAGAGAAAGGAAATGCCAGAAGACATGCATACTTTTTGTAGTTTGATTTCTAAAGGATTGTTATTTGCCCCTGTCAGTAGTTATACAAGGAGTTAGCTTAGTATTTGTAATAGTGGTAGTACCACCAGGTCGTTTTTCAGGAAGAGAAAGAAAATAATGACTTCCTTCAATGATTTTGTCTTTGTACCTCTCAGAGATATGAGCATAGATCTGTTGATGAAAGCATCCTTGATGGGCCTGGTGACTTTGGAGCAATTTTAGAGACTTGAATCTAGCTACAGGGAAAGGGTCTTACATTTTGTGGAT